GGGATACCCAGTAGTCACAATAATTAACAAGGGGGGATACCCAGTAGTCACAATAATTAGCAAGGAGGGATACCCAGTAGTCACAATAATTAACAAGGAGGGGTGGCCAGAAGTCACAATAATTAACAAGGAGGGATACCCAGTAGTCACAATAATTAACAAGGAGGGATACCCAGTAGTCACAATAATTAACAAGGAGGGGTGGCCAGTAGTCACAATAATTAACAAGGAGGGATACCCAGTAGTCACAATAATTAACAAGGAGGGATACCCAGTAGTCACAATAATTAACAAGGAGGGGTGGCCAGTAGTCAAAATAATTAACAAGGAGGGATACCCAGTAGTCACAATAATTAACAAGGAGGGATACCCAGTAGTCACAATAATTAACAAGGGGGATACTCAGTAGTCACAATAATTAACAAGGGGGATACCCAGTAGTCAATAATTAACAAGGGGGATACCCAGTAGTCACAATAATTAACAAGGAGGGATACCCAGTAGTCACAATAATTCACAAGAGGGATACCCAGTAGTCACAATAATTAACAAGGGGGATACCCAGTAGTCACAATAATTAACAAGGGGATACCCAGTAGTCACAATAATTAACAAGGGGGATACCCAGTAGTCACAATAATTAACAAGGAGGGATACCCAGTAGTCACAATAATTAACAAGGGGGGATACCCAGTAGTCACAATAATTAACAAGGAGGGATACCCAGTAGTCACAATAATTAACAAGGAGGGATACCCAGTAGTCACAATAATTAACAAGGGGGATGGCCAGTAGTCACAATAATTAACAAGGAGGGATACCCAGTAGTCACAATAATTAACAAGGGGGATACCCAGTAGTCACAATAATTAACAAGGGGGGATACCCAGTAGTCACAATAATTAACAAGGGGGATACCCAGTAGTCACAATAATTAACAAGGGGGGATACCCAGTAGTCACAATAATTAACAAGGGGGATACCCAGTAGTCACAATAATTAACAAGGGGGGATACCCAGTAGTCACAATAATTAACAAGGAGGGATACCCAGTAGTCACAATAATTAACAAGGGGGGATACCCAGTAGTCACAATAATTAACAAGGAGGGATACCCAGTAGTCACAATAATTAACAAGGAGGGATACCCAGTAGTCACAATAATTAACAAGGAGGGATACCCAGTAGTCACAATAATTAACAAGGAGGGATACCCAGTAGTCACAATAATTAACAAGGAGGGGTGCCCAGTAGTCACAATAATTAACAAGGAGGGATACCCAGTAGTCACAATAATTAACAAGGGGGGATACCCAGTAGTCACAATAATTAACAAGGGGGGATACCCAGTAGTCACAATAATTAACAAGGGGGATACCCAGTGGTCACAATAATTAACAAGGGGGGATACCCAGTAGTCACAATAATTAACAAGGGGGGGATAACCAGTAGTCACAATAATTAACAAGGGGGATACCCAGTAGTCACAATAATTAACAAGGGGGATACCCAGTAGTCACAATATGCTACATTAAGACTTTACATACAAACCTTGATATAAAAATCTCGGTGTTGAAAAATATTGCGTTCCGAAGGGGCATTACAAGGTGGGTTTATGTTAACTATTGTTAAGACTACTGACATTACGTCAGGTAAGTGAACACGTGTGAAACATGACGTTAGTGGCAGCTACGTTTCACTCACGTTTGTCCACAAGTTGATGAGACACTTGTGCAATATTTGGAGATCTTTATTCTGGAAACGTTTCGCCACGCAGTGGCTTCTTCAGTCCAATGGCGAGAAAGGTGGAAGATGAGGAGGAGTTTGAGGTAATCAGTCCCTCAGCTTGGAGTCAACGTGTCCAGTCTATCAATCTTGACTTTATTCAGTGGAAACGAGTGAATCTTTCACGTACAAACCTACTCCGTCTCGCACCTTAGCTAATCTATCACCTCTATACAGATTATAATCTGGAACTGCATATTTCACCGTCAACGATGTAGTGTGGAGGAGTTCCGTCATGACTGCACACACAACCCGTGTTTCAGTACCCAACTTTATTTTGAGTGGCAAATGTGTGTGTGTGTGTGTGTGTGTGTGTGTGTGTGTGTGTGTGTGTGTGTGTGTGTGTGTGTGTGTGTGTGTGTGTGTGTGTGTGTGTGTGTGTGTTTCCTGAGTCACGCGCGTGCTCACATACACAAACCTTTTTAACATGGTTTTAACATCAAAATTCCAACATGAACGTCTTATCATCAAGTTACAATATCACACGTTTTAACATAAACCTCTGAGCATCAAAAGTTTTATCACCAACGTTTTAACGCCAAAGTTTAGGCATCAAAGTTTCAACACTACCGCCTTAACATCACCCACCTCCTACCTCACTTCCCCTTCCTGAACAAGACCCCCCCCTCCTCCCTCCCCCTCCTCCTTACACACAGGACGAAAATGTTTTACAACCTCATCAACCATACGTAAAAAGAGGTTGTTTGTTTGTGTTTGTCAATACTCTCTCTCACTCTCTCTCTCTCTCTCTCTCTCTCTCTCTCTCTCTCTCTCTCTCTCTCTCTCTCTCTCTCTCTCTCTCTCTCTCTCTCTCTCTCTCTCTCTCTCTCTCTCTCACCAACGCAGCGACGGGTCAACCATTGAAGTCAACAAATGGCTAAAGGTTAGGCTACTGATGTCAAGATAACCTTTCTGGACATTACACGAGGATGGGAACACCTTGTGGGAAGGAGGGAGGGAGGAGACACTGTGGGAGAGAGGACTTTTTGGGAGAGGGGGGAGGAGAACTTTGTGAGGTGGGAGGGGAGGACCTTATTGAAGATGGAATGATTTTGAGAGAGGGGTAAAGTTCGGTAGAAGGGAAAAGGAACCTGGGGAAGGGGTAAGCACCCTGGAGGAAGGGGAAAGAAACCTGGGGAAGAGGGAAGGACCCTGAAGAAGGGAAAGGACCCTAGAGGATGGGGGAAGGACCCGGAGGAAGGGGAAGGGCCCAGATGAAGGGAAAAGGACTTAGGGGAAGGACCCTGGGGAAGGATAAATGGCAGGTGTTTACTACAGACCTAGGAAAGAGAGACTGGGGTAAATCGATGAGAATTTGGTGGAGTCTCTCAGAGTGTGTGTCAAAGTCTCTCAGCGTGTCTGACTAAATCTAAGACCGGGCAACACACTGATTCAACACGTCTCTCTTGTACGTGCTACACACTCTTCCATTACTGTTCCAAACGCTGTTACTGCTGCTGCAGCTGCTATTACTTTTGCTGGTGATACTGCTTCTGCTGCAGCTGGTGCTACTGCTGCTGTTGCAGCTAGTGCTACAACTACTGTTACTGCTGGTACTACTGCTGCTGGCGCTATGACTGCTGCTGTCTTCGTGGCAGTGTTTATGGACCGCTTGTTCCCCAGTTAAAACCAACAATGTCATGGTTTTTCCTGCCCCAGCTCACAGTAATGTCTGGGACAACATTAATGCTTCCTCTCTTTACTGTTGGGACCCTGCACGCTATTGTTCTCTTATAATTCGTCTGTTGTTCCACTGTTATAGTTCGTGTGTTGTTTTACTGTTATAGTTCACCTGTTTCACTGTTACAGTTTCACCTGTTGTTCCACTGTTATATTTCACCTGTTGTTCCACTATTGTTCCAAGCACCTTAACACTCAGGTCTTTACTGACATAATTTACATTGCTCCTATAATTTATATTGTTCCTATAATTTATATTGTTCCTATAATTTATATTGTTCCTATAATTTATATTGTTCCTATAATTTCAGCATTGTAATTAATCTTATTCTACATTATCTTACTATAATGTATATTAGTATAATTATTCTTGGTAAAATTTATATACTGGCACTTATAATGTATATAGGTATTATTCATGTCCTTGCTGTAATGTACACTAATATAATTTACATTGGTAAAATTTATATACTGGTTGTTTGTTATAATTTATATTCGTGTATAATTTATATACCATTACTTGCTATAGTTTAAAGAACTACGATTTATATATCTATGATTTATATTATTGGTATAATACATACTGTTGTAGTTTATATCAATGATTTGTATTCGTCTGATTTGTGTTTTCAGAATTTACTGCTTAAGATGGCTCTGAAACTTTACCTATGAGACCAAGCTTTGTTTTCAGCCTGGTTTACCAGGCTGTTGGTGCCAACAGAGCCATCACAGCCTGGTAGATCAGGCGCGTCTTGGAGGCAGGCAGGTCGGTCCCTGATTACCTGGCTTCTCTGAACGGGGCAAAAATGGATTTACCCTACCATAATACCATTCTGGGTCGCCATGTTGGGTTTCAGGACCCAAAGTTTCAGAATTTGTGGGTTCTGAGCCTCCGTAAAGGCGATTAGATTCAGAAAAGTTCAACACTTCTCACGGACATTCTCTTCTAAACCTTACGGAGGAAGGAACTTGTAAGTGGAACTTTAGAATACAGATTTATAGAGTTTATAAAACGACTTAGAGCTAATTTTGAGAGGGTTTAGAAAGCGGCTTAGAGGGAATTAATTTTGAGAGGGTTTAGAAAGCGGCTTAGAGGGAATTAATTTTGAGAGGGTACAGAAAGCGGCTTAGAGGGAATTAATTTTGAGAGGGTTTAGAAAGCGGCTTAGAGGGAATTAATTTTGAGAGGGTACAGAAAGCGGCTTAGAGGGAATTAATTTTGAGAGGGTTTAGAAAGCGCTTAGGGAATTAATTTTGAGAGGGTACAGAAAGCGGCTTAGAGGGAATTAATTTTGAGAGGGTACAGAAAGCGGCTTAGAAGGAGTTAATTTTAAGAGGCTTTAGAAAGACGTCTTGAAGAGACACTTCATAGGAGCATCTCTAAGTTGGTTTCAGAGAAGCGCTTGAGAAAGGGAGGCTACAGAAGGCTTTAGAGAGGAATTTAGAGGCAGGTTTCAGAGAAGCTTTTTAAAGCGTCACAAAATCTTAGACACTTTAGGGAGGCTTCAGGGAGGCGTGAGGAGAGTGGTACTCACCTGACGATGACAGGCTTCTCGGAGCCGGCGACGAAGCCGAAGCCCATCTCGGGATCCCTGACTAGGTCTATCTGACGAGGCTGTGGGGGCTCGTCCAGGTAGTCCTTCCTGGGGTCCTCGTAGGTGGTAGTCTTGTTCAGGTGACTGTAAACAAGAACAGGTGGTGAGGCAGGTGGTGTGACAGGTGGTGAGGTAGGTGGTGAGGCAGGTTGTGAGGCAGGTGGTGAGGTAGGTGGTGAGGCAGGTGGTGAGGTAGGTGGTGTGGCAGGTGGTGAGGTAGGTGGTGAGGTAGGTGGTGTGGCAGGTGGTGAGGTGGTAGGTGTGTGGCAGGTGGTGAGGCAGGTGGTGAGGCAGGTGGTGTGGCAGGTGGTGAGGCAGGTGGTGTGGCAGGTGGTGAGGCAGGTGGTGAGGTAGGTGGTGAGGCAGGTGGTGAGGTAGGTGGTGAGGTAGGTGGTGTGGCAGGTGGTGGTGGAGGTGGTGTGGCAGGTGGTGAGGTAGGTGGTGTGGCAGGTGGTGGGTAGGTGGTGAGGCAGGTGGTGAGGTAGTGTTGAGGTAGGTGGTGTGGCAGGTGGTGAGTAGGTGGTGTGGCAGGTGGTGAGGTAGGTGGTGTGGCAGGTGGTGAGGTAGGTGGTGTGGCAGGTGGTGAGGTAGGTGGTGAGGTAGGTGGTGAGGCAGGTGGTGTGGCAGGTGGTGTGGCAGGTGGTGAGGCAGGTGGTGTGGCAGGTGGTGAGGCAGGTGGTGGTGTCACCTGTACAGTGATGCACTGTGATTACAGTGTGCCACTGTACCACTATCACCACTTACTTGGTAATGACCTTAAACACTTTAATAACCTCAAATAATTATCTTAGATAATTTAACGACCTTAAACAGACATCATAATGACTCCAGTGGGACAGAAATTTGGAGGTCAACCACATGACCTTAAATGTTGCATAATAGTGAGTTTTATGCGCCCCATATATGCGCATAATACAATCATGCGCCCCATATATGCGCATAATACAATCATGCGCCCCATATATGCGCATAATACAATTATGCGCCCCATATATGCGCATAATACAATCATGCGCCCCATATATGCGCATAATACAATCATGCGCCCCATATATGCGCATAATACAATTATGCGCCCCATATATGCGCATAATACAATTATGCGCCCCATATATGCGCATAATACAATCATGCGCCCCATATATGCGCATAATACAATCATGCACCCCATATATGCGCATAATACAATCATGCGCCCCATATATGCGCATAATACAATCATGCGCCCCATATATGCGCACAATACAATCATGCGTCCCATATATGCGCACAATACAATTATGCGCCCCATATATGCGCACAATACAATTATGCGCCCCATATATGCGCACAATACAATCATGCGCCCCATATATGCGCAAAATACAATCATGCACCCCATATATGCCCATAATACAATCATGCACCCCATATATGTGCATAATACAATCATGCGCCCCATATATGCGCATAATACAATTATGCGTCCCATATATGCGCACAATACAATCATGCGTACCATATATGCGCACAATACAATTATGTGCACCATATATACGCACAATACAATCATGCGTACCATATATGCGCACAATACAATTATGTGCACCATATATACGCACAATACAATCATGCGTACCATATATACGCACAATACAATCATGCATAACATATATACGCACAATACAATCATGCATACCATATATATGCACAATACAATCATGCGTACCATATATGCGCACAATACAATCATGCGTACCATATATGCGCACAATACAATCATGCGTACCATATATGCGCACAATACAATCATGCGTACCATATATGCGCACAATACAATCATGCGTACCATATATACGCACAATACAAATTTATGCGTACCAATATACGCACAATACAATCATGCGTACCATATATACGCACAATACAATCATGCGTACCATATATACGCACAATACAATCATGCGTACAATATATACGCACAATACAATCATGCGTACCATATATACGCACAATACAATCATGCGTAAACCCTATATACGCACAATACAATCATGCGTACCATTATACGCACAATACAATCATGCGTACCATATATACACACAATACAATCATGCGTACCATATATACACACAATACAATCATGCGTACCATATATACGCACAATACAATCATGCGTACCATATATACACACAATACAATCATGCGTACCATATATACGCACAGTACAATAATGCGTACCATACACACAATACAATCATGCGTACCATATATACGCACAATACAATCATGCGTACCATATATACGCACAATACAATCATGCGTACCATATATACGCACAATACAATCATGCGTACCATATATACGCACAATACAATCATGGTACATATATACGCACAATACAATCATGCGTACCATATATACGCACAATACAATCATGTGTACCATATATACGCACAATACAATCATGCGTACAATATATACGCACAATACAATCATGCGTACCATATATACGCACAATACAATAATGCGTACCATATATACGCACAATACAATCATGCGTACCATATATACGCACAATACAATCATGCGTACTATATATACGCACAATACAATCATGCGTACCATATATACGCACAATACAATCATGCGTACCATATATGCGCACAATGCAATCATGCGTACCATATATACGCACAATACAATCATGCGTACCATATATACGCACAATACAATGTATGAAAAATTACATTACATAAAACCTGCGAAAGCTTTATGCTTTAAAACTTTATATAAAAAAGCTATATACAACGCTTGAAAACGTGCTTTACAAAACGTTTCGAACTTCACAAAAAAGTTTTAAAACCATTAAAAAACTAAATTTATAAAGCGTTTTAAACGTGACTGAAAAAATGTACGAAGTCTTTATAGAACAAATAAAACTTGTAAAACTATGCAAAACCTTTGTAAAAAGTGAGAGGGGTATACGGAACAAGTGCAAGCTTTATTAAACGTGTGCAAACTTTATTTAGCGAATGCAAGCTTTACTTAACGTGTACAAGCTTTACTAAACATGTGCAAGCTTTACTAAACGTGTGCAAGCCTTACTAAACGTGTGCAAGCCTTACTAAACGTGTGCAAGCTTTACTTAACGTGTGCAAACTTTACTTAACGTGTACAAGCTTTACTAAACGTGTGCAAGCTTTATTAAACGTGTGCAAGCATTACTAAACGTGTGCAAGCTTTACTTAAGTGTACAAGCTTTACTAAATGTGTGCAAGCCTTACTAAACGTGTGCAAGCTTTACTAAACGTGTACAAGCTTCATTAAACATTTGCAAACATTATTAAACGTACGCAAACTTCAATAAATATATCTAGGCTTTATTAAACGTGTGCATGCTTTACTAAACCAGTGCCAACTGTACAAGGCAAGTGTGGGGTGGGGGTCTTAACTTACTTTATAAAGTACTGCTTGCCCTCCTTGTCGGTGGCTGCCTCCCAGCCGTAAGGCAGAGCGCTGCCCCCAGCCTCCCAGTTCTCCAGGGGAGGTAACCAAGACGATGTCTGACTCGCATGACTGAAAGATAAGACAATCTTGTTAGTTATCATCGACAGGTGTTGTTGTTGTGATGTGAGCGTTGTTGCTGGGTTGTGAGTGTTGTTGCTGTTATATCCCGAGTGTTGTGAATGTTGTGCTGTGAGTGTTGTTGCTGGGTTGTGAGTGTTGCAGCTATGTTGTGAGTGTTGTTGCTATGTTGTGAGTGTTGCTGCTATTCTGTGAGAGTCATCCTTAACAGGTATTGTTATACTGGGTATGGAATGATGGGTATATAGGGTGGCTACCAACCACAGGATGGGTAGGAGGGATGACTACCACCCCCATACCCATCCCCTCCCCACCCCTTTTTTCCCCTCTTCATCCCCACTACCTCTCCCCCCCCCTCTCCTTCCTTTCCCCTAGTGTATCACAAACTCGGTAATTCAATTAGGGAATAATTTCATTTGTTCTTTGTATTTCGACTACAGAAAACGGGACGTAACATTTATGTATCCTGGGGGACTCATTCAAAATTTATTACCTTTTTTTTTAAGTAATATAGTGGAAGTCTGAGTGTGGAAATGTCGAAGATCATTGTGGAAATGCTCAAGATCACAATGGTTCTTTCTCCTTGCCTCAATACTGGAGCACCCTGCCATAACTCACCTGTGCTCACCTGGAGGAGGTATCGAGGGTCAACGTACAAAGCTCCCCCTTCCCTCGGTCCCAGACCAAACTTCTTTTGTATATGGCAATAAAAATGTAATTAATGTCTGGTCTCCGCACGGTCGGTTCCCACGGGGAGTCGAGGCAATTAAAAAATCTTATTTAGTTTAATTTCCTTGGGTGAGCGTGCGACAAGTGACCAATTAAGACGACAAGCTAACTTGGTCTTTATAAACCTCCCTCTCTCTCTCTCTCTCTCTCTCTCTCTCTCTCTTCTCTCTCTCCTCTCTCTCTCTCTCTCTCTCTCTCTCTCTCTCTCAGGATATTGGATGCTGGTTTGGCCACATACCTGCGTCAGTTTACATAATTGTATTTTTCACTGTCTGGCCTTAGGCCAGATTTCCACGTAGTTTGCTAGATCAACCAGGCTGTTGCAGGAGGGTCGCAGGCCTACACAACCATGTCTGGTTTCGCAGTTGTTCACAAGGAGTGATCCAGTTCCCGCTCGAAAACTTTTATCATTGTTTTGGCAACATTTCTTGTATTTTCTGGTATAAGGTTGGAGATGGAATACATACAATACCAACAAGTTGATATATAAAACTATTCAACTAAAGAAGCCTTCTGAGCAGGCGAAACGTTTCGGTAATAAAGGTAGCCAAATGTTGCATGTGAGTCGTAATCATCAGTGCTGAGAGTGTCCACAGCGACCCTGCTACTACACTCCTGCTCCACTAAGTTGTTATGAAAGTATGTAGATTGGATACCTGGCCCTCCAGTATTTTCCATGTATATATTCGCTTCCGAAGAGCACATTCCAAGCGCTTTTCGGAGTTTCGGTAGTTTAGATGCTTTAGTGATTGTATGCAGGCAGTAAACGATCTCTGTACATTTTCCAGCTGTGTTATCTCTCCTGCCTTGAGAAGAGTTACGAACACAGAGCAATATTCCAGACGGCAGGGCACAAGTGATTAAATAGTACCAGTATATTCCTGACACATCCATCCTCTCATTATCCATGCCTTGCAAGTGTTGAACTTATCGTATTCTCTAAACGATATATCATCCGACATGATTATTTCTATACGTCCCTTTTCTTCTCCTAGGGTTTTGTACAGCACTACATATCTCCCCACCCACCACCCCTCGACCATACCCCGGTGCTCTTGCCATGAACTCTAGCTGTAGTGGAATTACATGTCAGTTTTAAAGCAGCACACACACGGATAATACCTAGAGGGTGTTCGGGGATCAACGCCCCCGTGGTCCGGTCCATGGCCAGGCCATGACTCCGTCTCATTTTCTCCGTACTTTACAAGTTTCTGGCCTCTTGTCAAATCCATTCTTAAAGATACTTCCCCAAGGTCGCCTCCATTACTTCCTCATCCCGATCATTCCTAATCATACCGAGGTAAAGATGAATCTCCTGAAGTCTCTCTGCAACAGTACTGGTTTCAGCTTCCATCTGTGCCTCAGTGTCCTTTTAAGAAATCTATCCCTTTAATGTTGTATCATATATTAATGAATTCTCTTCCAACTTCTCTTCCTGCCTTACCTAAGCATACAAACATGAGCTCTACTGATGACATTATGATTTTAAGAACAGGGCATAAGAGGATGGACGCTATTCTGAATAATGTTTAAACAATATATAAACAACAACAACTACAACTACTACTACTATTACTACTACTATTACTATTACTACTACTACTACTACTGTCTGCATCTAAGACTTACAACTAAGTCTCCTAGTACCCAACAACCAAGAACGAGATATTTACAGGTAAGCGACATACACTACACACATGTATACAAGATCAACTCTTCACTTAGTTTCAATCTTAGCTATCTTGGTGTAGGTGAAGCCTTTAGTAAATACACTATATCATAACTAATCACTTTAATTCTCACTAGCTTCCCCCACTCCTCTCCATCATTACATCACTTCCGCCCACTCTATTACTCCCTCCCTCCTTTATCTACTACTGTTCTTCCCCCCCTAATCTACTCTTATTCTCTCCCTCCCTTATCTTCTTCCCTTCCTCCCTGTCCACCTTCCTCTCCTCACTCAATTAGTCTCATTACATAACATCTGAGTTATAGTGAATATTTTTAGGTTAATTCATGTTGAGGTAAATTTAATTGTTAGTCACTGAATCTAAATGACGGTAGTATTAGCCTGGTCAACACTCCGTAGCGTCGTGTTTACCGGTGTCGAGTCCCAGCTCTTGGCCCTGACTCGCACACTCAACCTGACTTCCTGGGAACTTTCATACCTAATCCTGAAACTCTGTATGGAGTGTTTCTCTCCACCACAATCTTATGCAACTCGTTACACTTGCTACCATTAATAGCCCAATACTTCTTAGCTTGCTGACCCATGTGTCAGAGGGATCCCCGGATTCACTGTCCCGTGTATCCAGGTTTGTACTGTAATACTTTATGGTGTGCGTGATGGCCCATCCCACGTTCTTCACACCCAACCCACGTTCTTCACACCCACCCTACGTGCTTCACACCCACCCTACGTGCTTCACACCCACCCTACGTTCTTCACACCCACCCAACGTGCTTCACACCCACCCCACGTGCTTCACACCCACCCCACGTGCTTCACACCCACCCCAAGTGCTTCACACCCACCCCACGTGTTACACATCCACCCCACGTGCTACACACCCACTCCACGTGCTACACACCCACCCACGTGCTTCACACCCAAGCCACGTTCTTCACACCATCCTACGTGCTACACACCCACCCCACGTGCTACACACCCACCCCACGTGTTACACACCCACCCCACGTGTTACACACCCACCCCACGTGTTACACACCCACCCCACGTGTTACACACCCACCCCACGTGTTACACATCCACCCCACGTGCTACACACCCACCCCACGTGCTACACACCCACCCCACGTGCTACGCACCCACCCCACGTGCTACGCAACCACCCCACGTGTTACGCACCCACTCCACGTGCTACACACCCACTCCACGTGCTACACACCCACTCCACGTGCTACACACTCACTCCACGTGCTACACACCCACTCCACGTGCTACACCCCCACTCCACGTGCTACACACCATCCACGTGCTACACACCCACCCTACGTGCTTCACACCCACCCTACGTGCTTCACACCCACCCCACGTTCTTCACACCCACCCCACGTGCTTCACACCCACCCCACGTGCTTCACACCCACCCTACGTGCTTCACACACACCCTACGTGCTTCGCACACACCCTACGTGCTTCACACACACACCCTACGTGCTTCACACCCACCAAACGTGCTTCACACACCTACATGCTTCACACCCACCCCACGTGCTTCACACACCACCCCACATGCCTCACACCCACCCCATATACCTCACACCCATCATCACGTGCCTTCACACCCACCCCACATGCCTCACACCCACCCACGTGCTACACACCCACCCCACGTGCTTCACACCCACCCACGTGCTTCACACCCACCCCACGTGCTACACACCCACCCCACGTGCTACACACCCACCCCACGTGTTACCACCCACCCCACGTGTTACACACCCACCCCACGTGTTTCGCACCCACCCCACGTGCTACACACCCACCCCACGTGCTACACACCCACCCCACGTGTTTACACAACCCACCCCACGTGTTACACATCCACCCCACGTGCTACACACCCACCCCACGTGCTACACACCCACCCCACGTGCTACACACCCACCCCACGTGTTACGCACCCACCCCACGTGTTACGCACCCACTCCACGTGTTACGCACCCACTCCACGTGCTACACACACACTCCACGTGCTACACACCCACTCCACGTGCTACACACCCACTCCACGTGCTACACACCCACTCCACGTGCTACACATCCACCCCACGTGCTACACACCCACTCCACGTGCTACACGCCCACTCCACGTGCTACACACCCACCCCACGTGCTACACACCCACCCCACGTGCTACACACCCACTCCACGTGCTACACACCCACCCCACGTGCTACACACCACTCCAACGTGCTACACACCCACCCCACGTGCTACACACCCACTCCACGTGCTACACACCCACCCCACGTGCTACACACCCACTCCACGTGCTACACACCCACTCCACGTGCTACACACCCACCCCACGTGCTACACACCCACTCCACGTGCTACACACCCACCCCACGTGCTACACACCCACTCCACGTGCTACACACCCACCCCACGTGCTACACACCCACCCCACGTGCTACACACCCACCCCACGTGCTACACACCCACCCCACGTGTTACACACCCACCCCACGTGTTACCCACCCCACGTGCTACACACCCACCCCACGTGCTACAC